AGTTGTTCTGAAGATTGCAGTATACATACTTAGGCTTTAATCGAGTTAGTGTTGTATTACTTTATGTAAAACGTAGAAAATTTACAACTAGATAATGCTATGATACTTGCTGTAAATAGTCATATTTTAAAGAACTTAGGAGGAAAAAATTGTTTATATTTTACCATCCTTGTGAGCCTGTCCAGTGAATTTTTAATTTCAGATTTTTTTTTTTTTTTTTTTTTGGTGCCGGGGATTGAACTTGGGATCTTGTGCTTGAGGCAGGTGGCAGAATCACTGAGCTAAATCCCCGGCCCTAATTTCAGATATTTTAAGTTCTAAGTTTTTTATGGTTCTAAATCTCTGCTGAGAACTTCTGCTTTTCTATTCATTTCAAGTGTGTTTTTATTTATAGACTGTAGTTATAATGGCTGCCTAAAAGTATTTCTTATAGTTCTGATTATCTTAATTATCTGATTTTCATGAGTTAAGCATTAGTTGATTGCATTTTCCGTTCACCTTTAGAATTGGTCATATTTTTGCTTTCTATGGTTTGTTTTGGGGGTGGCGGTGGAGATTTGCCTCGTGACCTTGAGCATGCTAAGCACAGGCTATCAATAAGCAATAACCCTAGCCACATTTTCCTTATCCTTTTTTAATTTTGAATTGTGCCCTTGATGCTATATTGTGAATGCTATATTGCACAGGCTCTAAGTCCCTGTTATATTCCTCTAGAGATCCTTTATTAAAATAAAATCATTAAAAATTATCCTGGCTAGGTCAAGACTACAAATTCTGCCTTTGATTGTCTTTAGCACACAGCCAATCCTGTTACTTTTAGACCCAGCCAGTTATTTAAGCATCATTTAATTATCTAAATGGGTGCACGTTCACCTCACGTACGTGTAACTCAGGGATTAGGCTGAGATGCATACAGGTTTACATGTGGAACCAGGTAAGCTTTTCTGTGGCTCACAGGTACCTCTTTTCTGAGTTGCTCTGTTAAAAAAAAATAAAGTCATGGTTTCTGTTGGAGTTTTAATCACTAGAACTGGTACTACTCTCTTATATTACTATATAACTAGAGCTTACATTCAGGGAAGACCAGCAAGAGAAATGAGAAGGGGCCACAGGGGAACAGGGTACTCACACCCATATGGTTGCTTTTGCAAGTTTTTGCTACATTCCCAAATCTACCTGCATTTACGTTGAAGAACCTCCAAGGAGTATAGTTGTTAGTTCATCTTGAGGTTTTAATTATGATCGGCAGAAATACAGTGTGTTAATTACTTTTCTCTCATTGCTGAGACAAAATACCCCACATCCAAAGTTAAAAGGGGAAAGGTTTATTTGGCTTATAGTTCCATAGAGATTTCAGTCCATAATCAGTTGGCACCAAGGCAGGGTGGCAGAGGGGCAACAGATCGTGGCAGCAAAAGCAACAATGGGCCTTAACAGCATCTTTCTGCCCCTTTTATCTTATTCAGACTACATAGGGCAGGTAGCACTCACACCCTTAGTCCGAGTACCCTCAAGCCTAGCCCCACCATGAATCAATCACACATTTTAGATTCAGCCACCTCTGAGAAAGCTGAGGCTTTGGGGGGACATCTAGACACAAGCCATAACATATGGATTATGACCTTACATTGCTGTACTAGAACAAGAGCTACAGAAGGTGGATTTTGAAGACAGACTGGGTCCAGAATTTTAGAAATACTATGCTATATCACTTGTCCTCTTCAAAAAGCTTTTTAGAAAAAAATTATGCAATGTTAACAGATCAGTCCCATGAATCAAATATGTCTAGAACCTCTTAAAAATGCAACAGATAATTTTTATTAACAATAGATTTAATGTTTAATAACTCACAAGTTTACTGAGCAGTTTTTCCTTCCCATCTTGGGAGAGGCTAAAGGGTGAAAGAAGGGGAGTTCCTAAATCTAACTTAAACAACATACAGCCCGACTTGAAACTTAGTCAGTAAACGCCAATATCTTTCTGGATCCTGCTTTGTGCACAGTGATGAAATACATACGTAAAGGAATAATCTACCGAACCATCCACACACCTATAATGTAGAGAAATTTCATTACCTCCAAAGATTCTCAACATGTGAATAAGACTGAGTCCATCTTCAGAAGCATGTTTTACAAGCCTGGCTTTCTACCATGAGTTTTCTAGTGATAGCTCCTTTTCCTTGTGATCAAGACATACGTTAACAACTTATTTTGAAAAATGATTCATGCATCTTGTACCAAGGCCTATTGTAACAATAGCAGTAGCAACAGCAGCAGCAGCAGCAATAATGATACATAAATATTAGAAACAATGGTAGTAGCTTGTGGAAGAATTATTTTGAGCCACATTTTGTTTTCTGGTACTTGACAAACATCATCATACCCTGCTAAGTTGTATTTTTTAGATGAGTAAAATGAAATATACCAATGCCACACAAGTGATAAGAGCTAGCATCTACTTTATAGAAAGCTGAAAGTAGGACTTGTAGTTCCTGAGCCAACATGGATAGCTCCTTCCTACAGATTAAGATAGTGAAAACCTGGTATATTTATTCACTTATCACTCGCTTTCTCTGGCAGTAAACTCTACCAGTGGGAGTCCATGGTAGTCTGCTATATTTCAAAACTGGGAATTGAGCCAGAGCTTTAATTTTAAACTTGGCCTTCTTGTAAAGCTTTCCATTGTGAGACTGATCTAATGAATAAAAACAATCTCAGCAAATTAATAAAACAGATTTCACATTCCTGAATGGCTTCAGGTACTACCGCTCAAGATTTCCACTAAAATATAAAAATATTATTTCTGTGATTATCAGACTACCCTTAGGAATCACCATCTTCAGTCAGCAGTTTCCATGTCATTTGCTCAAAATATCTGCCATGTTACAAAGCCAGTCATATAAATTAGACTTTAATTTTTTGGAACTCCTGAGTCATTTTTAATGTTTAAAGATGCATTCCAAAGATAAATGTATCAAACTGTTTCTCAGCAAAAATAATTTTAAAAGAACCATAGAATTAGACAACTTGCTTTTAGTAGAGAACATTTCTAGGATAAAATAGTATTTGTTCATTCATTCAAGTATTTATTGAGCACTTACTATGGGCAACATTTTATTCTGGGCATTGGAAATATAACTCTCCTTTAATCCTTCTCTAAATTATGGCATATTCTGTTTTGTTTTGTTTTGTACTGGGGATTGAACTCTGGACCTTCTACTTGCAAGGCAGGCGGTGGCACCACTGAGCTAATTCCCTAGCCCAATTATGACATATTCTAGAACACTGATGGTGAATCTGTGGCACCTATGCCATAGTGGGCTGTTTATATCATAGAAATCTCTAAAAGGTTCACCATCACTATTCTAGGGCCTAATCCTTCAGTGCCCACTCTCTAGGTGAAAGTATTTTTCAACCCTTTTGGTTTTACTACTATCTAAAAAGCTACAACTCAGAGCTCTCTTGTGACCTCCAGACTGCTGTATCCAAATGTCTATTCAACATCTCCACTTGAATATCTAATAGAAATCTCCAACTCAGTGTGCAGCACACACATGAATAAGCCAAAAAGAACAACCTACCAAATGAAAACCACCTCAGTGATGTAGGAATTTCTCACATTAAAAAAAACTAGTAATAATTCAGGGTACAGAAGCAGTCAGTTCAGAACATGTCCAGTTGCTCTATATTCATCGGAACCAGGCCCCTGATTTCTCCGTGCTCTTCCAACCCTCCGTCATACCACATTCAAGTTAGCAGGAGGGACAGTATAATAATGCATCCTTTTTGTTTCAGTGAAACTGCCTAGAAATTCTAGATAACTTACATGCTTACATTTCACATATGGGAGGCGGGAAAGCATAGCATTTAACATTCAGCTGAAATAGGAATGAAATGGACATTAGGAGACAATTGCTTGTCACACTCCCTAAATCTGACTCCCGCCCTTTAGTTCTTTGGTTAAGTATCACAGTATCAAAGAGACCTCCTTACCAGCCTATCTACACTGAGATTCCCCTTTGTAAATCTTTTCCCTTGTACAACGCTTTTTTCTTTTCCACACTCAGCACTATATGACATACTGTGCCTATGTGTAATACACTCTTATACATATTTATATATGAATTTGATTACTGAGTGTCTCCCCACTACAATTAAAGACTTAGTGTTTTTTCCTGTCAGATAAGGTTGGTCAAGAGAGACCACTCTGAAGGGAGAGTTTTGGGAAGAAGAGTCAGGTACACAAAAGTATAGGAAGAAAACTCTCCAATCAGAGGGAACACTTAAGTCAAAGGTTCAATAGGAGAAACAAGCTTGCCATATTTAGGGAAGCCATCTTGCATTTGGAGACAGGGCTGGAATATACTCAGTGATGGGGAGAATGGAAGAAGGTGAAATGGAAGAGGGTTTTGCCTGTCCTAGATGCAGTAGAAAGATTTGCCAGCCTCTATATTACCTCAGCTGTTTCCAGCCTTCGAGAAGTTCTAGGGATAATTTGTTAAGAGCTACTCAGGAGCTACTAGCCACATGCCACTACAAAATGAAAACTTCAGTTCTCAGTATCAGTAGCCACACTGCGTGTTTAGTAGCCACTAACTGCTATGTTTTGGACAGTGCAGGTGGAGAACATTCCATCCTCACAGAAATTTGTTAGGCATTGCTGCCCTAGGAAAGCCAGCCAAAGGAGAAATAATGCCAAACTTGCTTAGCCTCTTCCTTGTGATTTTCTCTCTTAACCTTGGAATCAGTGTTTTTCTATTTAAATGGAAATATGTGATGCCTAGAAAACTAGCATGTGGCCTGTTCCATATGCAAATGTTCTCACAGATGATTTTTACCTATGACTGTGAAGATGGGAAGGACTGGTAAATCACAAGCTAAATTCTTAACCTTATTATAAATACATTGCAGATGTAGAAATGCAAAGTGTGGAAGTCATAAATGTGAAAGCAGCTTTCAATTTGTTTTAATAGATACTTTCTGTGTCTTATTATAACCCAGGGACCTTGCTGCAAGAAACTGCCTGGTAGGTGAAAATAATGTTCTAAAAATCAGTGACTTTGGAATGTCTCGTCAAGAAGATGGTGGTGTGTATTCATCTTCTGGCTTAAAGCAGATTCCCATTAAATGGACCGCACCAGAAGCTCTTAATTATGGTAAGAACAGACCGGTTTTCTTTTTGGTGATGAAAATTGACTGTATTAGCACAAAATATTTGCAAGCAATATTACAGCGCTAGAGCAGACGCCAAATGAGAATGATTGGAGGATGAACACAAATAACATATAAATGTTCATCCCTTGCATTAAACATAAACATAAACTTAATTCATTGAAATTATTGATCAGATTTTGGTATGTAGGAGTGCTAGATGAAAAAGGCAGACATAAACACTTTTAAATATGACTATAGATTGGAGAGTTTTTTATCCCCCCAAAATGATTTTTTTTTTATTTTAATAGATTCCACATAGAATGAAGGTGTTGTAGTGGGTCTGTACCATTTCTTGGAATTTCATAACTGGTTCAACAGCCTCTTCTAATGTTGGGCTCCTAAAACATCCAAGTCAATCAATTCCTTACTTTCTCACTCCTAAACCAACATAGTTTCTTAATCTCTCAGTTTCTGGAACTTATATAAATCTTGAAGAAATCGAGAGTTGAGAATTAAACTTTAAAACATCAGTGATTTTTTTTTCACCTGAACTTTGTGTCCTTCAAGTGGAAATAAGTATAGCTTGGACTATCTGTAGTTAGGATGAAATGGATCATAGAAGTGAGTAACCTCAAGAGTTCAGAAAAAAAAAGACCAGAGTGTACTTTAAATGAAATTAGGGATTACACTTTCATTAATGGAAAGAGCATATAAACCTAGGGGTTGGTGAACACATATGTTTTGAATAAAAATATCATAAAATGATATTCCGTGGACTAAAAATAAAAAATTACCCCATTGTGAAAAATTATAAGGAAATTATAAATGCTTTAAGTTAATGCCTATGTGAAAGCTAAAGCTATTTAAAAATTGAAGTAAAATCCACATAAGGTAAAATTAACCATTTTAAAGTGAATAATTTAGTAGCATTTAGTGTTAATCACTGTGTTGGGCAACTAGTATCTCTGTCTAGTTTCAATTTTCTTTTCATCATTCCAAAATAAAATTACTCAATTAAAGCATTTTCTCCTCATTTGCCCATCAGTCCACAACAACTAGTAATCTGTATTTTGTTTCTGTGGATTTACCTCTTCTGGATATTTCATATAAATGGGATTAGGTATGTGGATTTTTATGTCTGGCTTCTTTCATTTAACATACTGTTTTCAAGGCTCATTCACATTGAGTATTATCAGTACTTTATTCCTCTTTAAGGCTGAATAATATTTCGTTCTGTGGATGTAACCACAGCTTGTTTATGCATTTCATGTGCATTTGAGCAGTTTTCACATTTTGGCTATTGTGAATAGAGCTACATTGTATATGAAGGTTCATTGAGTGCCTGTATTCATTTATTTTTAGGTGTATACTCAGAGCCATAGGGTTATTTTATATTTAACTTTTTGAGGAACCACCAAATGTTTTCCAGATATTGGTTTAGAAGCTGGTTGGGCTGATTCAGACACCATCAGAATACCAGTTCACCGACCGTTGTCTTCCATGTGCCAGCAAAAGAGACTTTTATGCATTTCCTACTGACTGCAAACAAACCAATCTCTTATAATCCAGAGAAGGTGGCAGCCGTGCTAATTTCCATAGTGATTCTTTTCTGCTACAGTTGCTGTTATTCTAGGGTTATATTGCTGAGGGGAACAATCACAGGATAAAAGATGACAAAACATTTTTACATGCAAAGGAAGCTGTGCCTGGACTTGGGAGCCCCCAAAAATATACCAGTAAAATCCAGCTCTCTTGAATTTGTTAACCAGATAGTTATATAGCCTTTAAAAATCCTCTTACTATTTCAGCAGTTATGCCAAGTAAAGTTTTACCTTTTGACCAGTATATTTTAGTCCTGAGCCTGACTAAAGTATGTACACATTTAAGTTCTAACTTCAGATGCTTCTAACAACCAGACCTAAATGCTTTTTAATAGCAAGTATGAAAATTTTTGATTGATAGAGACGCTTTTTACCAGTCTTTAATACTAACTTTATAAGATGCAGAATAATTCAGATGACAGGCAGATGAAGAAGGAGTCTGTAGTATTTATTACCCAATCCAATGAAGAAATTCCTCGAAGAGTCTACAAGCCACAGACCACCCTGAGAAATTGTATTGGTTCTCATAAACGTTAAAGTACTAAAGATTGGCCCTAAATCTTTGCATTTTTTAAACAAAAATATAAATATCTTAGAAAGTCCTATTTCTACTCATACTTCTTTCATGTTTTGTATAAATAAAATTTTGTGTTTGATGGGACACATTTAGCCTTGTTTCCAAGAATCTTTTCTTTCCCATTGATTCTTTTCTTCACTCTTGCCTCTAACTGTTGAAATACTGCCCAAATCTCCCATGAAGTGTGGTGTTGGGGCAGATGGAAAAAACCTCTCATCCAAGGAACCTCTCAAAACTGGCTTAGGGCTGTAGAATAAACTTTATTTGGTTAATGTTGTTAATTTTTGAAAAGATGATACATATCCTCGGGCCTACAGTGCACCCCTAGCTCTAGCCACATAATTTTTCTTCCTAGAAGCAAATATTCTTATATTCTTGTCATATTCATCTTATTCTCAACAGTTTCTTGACTGCTTATTTGTGTATATTTGCTCCGAACAATTGCTTTTTAAATTTGGGATGGAAGCATACTCAAAGACTGACACGTGTCTCTACCATCCTCAGTCACAGCTTTCACCAGTGGTGCTGTTTGTTTGACAAGGGCAAATATGATACTCATCTCCATCTAAGAAATAAAATCATGTATTTGTCAATTATTGAAAAGAAAGCTTTCCACTTACAACCTGGTGGTTTGGAGCAGCTGTGTTCTCTAAGTAGCGTGATATAACCATGCATACTCTGAAATGCAAGGGAGGCAGGATTTTAGCTGAGAGTCCAGAATCAGGTCAGCTATCTACTATTCCCTGCCCATGGTCCCTAATTTGTAAGATGAAGATGATAGTACCTTTTTCTCTATAGGGTATTATGAGGATCAAATGAGAGATAGAAAAGCCACAAAGTGCTATACTGTAAATTGTGACTTGTCTTGGCCTATTAAAATTATCCAGCAAAACCAGGTTTAAAAGTCAGAGTTAGAGTTATAAAATTCACTTGTGGGTGTGATTTTGGTTTACATATAATGTGCCTTTCTTGATCTCTGCCCAGATGTTATCTACAAAGTAAGATATTTGACTCTGGATAACTTACTTTCTTTAAAAATAAATTAGTCTTAACTTGTAGCCATTGAATGACTTCCATGAAAAGTATTAAATTATTGGATGCCAAACATAAAAAGCATTGATATGCAGTGAAGAAAACTAATGTTCTCTGAAACATCACAGTGAATGTCCTTAATTACTGTCTACTTAGAAGGGCACTACTTCAAACAGCTGGAGCTGCTCAGCAGTGAATACACTCCAGACTTAGAACAGTTACCATAGCACAGGCATGCTCTCCTCTTCATTCTGCTTTCTTGAAAAAAGAGAAGAGGCCATTCTCTTTTAAAGTAACATGACATTTTTAGAGGAGGGGCATTTTTAAATCGTGGAGTGGCAGAGTTAAGGCAAGAAACTACAAGAGGAATAGAAAGTGAAATCATTTAAGAAAACTTCACCATTGCAGATGGTGTTTAGTTATGATAGTGTATGCCCTGTACATCAAATTAAATAAAAACACAATGTGTTGGGAGAATCTGCTCTGAGAGACTGGAAAGAATTTTTCTGCTGCTCCTCCTTGATTTCACATCATCTCCAAAAGACATCTTGTCTTAATTTTTATCTCTGTGCTTCCCCTGAAGGCTACCAAAAACAGTGAATTCTAAGAGTTTAGCTCATATAGCTCAATAAAACAGGTGCACCAAGATATTTTGACAAAACAAGACACCATGTAATTTGAAGAAGTTGTTTTTTATCAGCCGGCTATGTTAATTTCCACTCTATTCAAAACACATAGTTTCATTTATGGAAAATATATTTTTCTATCAGTGGAGAAAATGAGACCTTTAAGCATGTAAGAATATCTGTAAACAGTGACAAGTAAAAAAATTGAAGTTAAGAAACTTTCCTTATTGCTTTAGGTTTATAATTTTAGTAGAAAGAAAGTGATGCAGGCAGAAGACAAAATTGCACGAATCAAACCTATTTAATCTTCTAGGCATTGATGTATACAATTTGTTTTTTTCTATAAATCATTTACCTCATTCAGATACCATAAGGAAGTAAGGTGTCATGCTTGCTGAATATCTGTTCTTATTGTGATAGTGTTGAAAGTGACTTCATAGCTGGTTTGATTAAACTAATAGCCTGAAGATTGTTCATTTAATTGGTAACATTACTAGTCCTAAAATTTAAAACGAGTGAAGAGAATAAGATCATTAGCTGAGTTCTTTGGCCAGGTATAAATATGTGACTATGTGGCCAACAGAAGCAGTCATTTCTTTGTCCCCTGTGCCTCACATACTTTTGGTTGTTGTTCCCCTTTCAGGGAGATACAGCTCTGAGAGTGACGTGTGGAGCTTTGGCATCCTCCTCTGGGAGACCTTCAGCTTAGGGATCTGTCCATACCCTGGCATGACAAATCAGCAAGCGCGGGAGCAAGTGGAGAGAGGTAAGCCAAAGACATGGGTGGTGAGTGTTCACAGCCAGCCCCAGGTGTCTCTGCTGGCCAGATTGCCAGGGGCAGGAGATGTTAGCAGTGCTGTCTGGGTACAGAAGAGCAGAGATGTTAGATGCGTCTACTCCGCTTTTCAATCTGTTGAATAGTGTGGCTCTTTTACTGTCTCGGTGTGTGACCATGCTGGCCTAGAGAATGAATGATTTCTCAGAGAAGAGACTTAGCCTCTCTGGGCCCTCCATGATTGAACTATCTCAACCAAGAGCACCCAGCATTAGGCAGAATGAGAAGCCCCAAAGCCAAGAAGTCTACAACTTTTATTTAGAGTATCAGTGTAAAAGAAAAAAGCAGAAGAACACCAGTTTGGACAAGGACCTATCTCAAGGCTAGGCAGCTTTTCTTGGGGGAAAGGAAAAAAACATTGGCCAGACACTAAACTTCTTTCAGTTTAACTATTCACTCCTTGGCCAAGACCTCCACATTATACAATGAAAACAAGTACTTTAAAGGATCACAACACACTAGAAATGGAGAAATCTGGGCTTTTCTTCCATCTCGCTTCTGCCCAGCAGGATATCTGCAGTGTCACTCAGGGAAGCAGGGTGGTGTTCCCCAACCTCTTCCTGCTTCTTCTAAACCAAATAAACCCCTAAGCAATATTGCTAACTGATATGCTCAGTCTTCAGGAAGAAACTTTTGAGAATTTAAGAATTTGTAACATTTTTTATGTGTTCCCAGATCAAAGGTGGGAATAACTAGGTAATGATCACACCCTATGGAGTCCACAGCTTCAACAAGAGCACTCTTGATAAAATGACAGAGCCCTAGCATCTGGGTAACCAAGGGTTGTAGAATTAACTGAGTTTAGAAGGATGGATTTCTAACCTCCTTCCTTCCTCTTCTATGCACCCTACTTCCTAGCCAGACACACATACCATGCGGCACATGACTGGGACACTGCCAGACAGCTGCTTGTAAAAGAATGGCCTCATATTCACTTCACTATTGAAATAGTGTTTATAAAATCCTCATCTCTCTTCATCTTCAAAAACATAAGTTGTAGAGATGATTTTTTAAGACTGCCCACAAATTATAATTCTAGAAGCAAATACTTAGAGCAACTGAAATATTCATTAATGTATGCATATTTTACTTCAGACTTTCTGACAAATGAATGAAAAATGTTTTTTGAACTGTGATGGCTCTGATATTAAATTCTATATCACCTATGAGAAAGAATTGTGCCTTGAAATCAATTTTTATTTCTACTATACCTACCACATAAGACACTAAATTTTATAAACTGCAAACATTTATAGCTTATCTGCATTCTAAATTCTCTGTTATTCTCTTGGGTCTTCAGGATACCGGATGTCAGCACCTCAGCAATGTCCAGAGGATATCTCTAAAATTATGATGAAGTGTTGGGATTATAAGCCTGAAAATCGCCCTAAATTCAGTGATCTTGTGAGAGAGCTCGATATCATCAAAAGGAAAATCACATAGTCACAGAAGAGTGCCAAGCTTGCCTTCAGGACTCTGTACTCCAGCAGAATAATATTGTTCTCCTTAACAATGAGTTTATACCACGTTACCTGCAACCATCTTCTAAGGTTATTTTTTTATTAACTGGGGTTTTAAAAAATATGTTCCACTTTAAAATACGTCAAGGTCAAATTTATTCAAGAAATAGTCCCACCAAGGGCTTTACGCTCAGTCCTACCATTTCAGGCCACTGTAAATAGGAAAGCACAGGTTCTAAATGTGTGAAGGATAAAAATATCCATCTTTGTTACATGTAGGACCACTGATATTTCTCAAAGGTTTTCTACTTCAGGCACAGTTCTCAGGCTGCTGTCTTTTGCCATAGACCTACTCAGTTGGTGCTATAAACGGCATTGGTAATGTGTGTTTGCAGGAGACATTCCAACCACAGTTGGTTTTCTGCTCTGCCAAGGGATTATAACCTTAAATATAGTCTTGTTATAATCTTGTATTGGAAATTACTTGGATCTCCCAAGGTCCTTTTTTTCTTTTTGGCCAGAAACAAGCCCAGTAAGAACCATCTTGCCCTTGCATTATTGAAGTTGTTGTTGTCCTCCTCCTTGGTCTGAGCATCAGAAAATGATTCATGCAATGTCCTCAAAGAATACATGGTTAACACATGGTTAGAGTTTAGGCAGCTGCTTTTAAAGGATGTTACAGAGAGCTGGACAGCAAAAACCAGGTGTGACCAGAAGGGCCATCTGGGAGAAAGAGCAGGCAGAGTGGTCATCAAAGTAGAGAATAGAGACATAATTCTGCCTTCTTACCAGACTTGCTCCTTTGTAAACACATGCACATATACCTATCCCTTTTCTGTTTTCTGCATTTATCCAGAAGGTCCGAAGAAATTTCAGGATTTCATAGATAGAATCCCTCTTAATGGCAACAACCCCCAAAAGTTCTTTTAGAGACACTACAAGTCCACAGAATAATGGCATACTGCTGGTTAAGTATCTTCATTGTAGAGGAGGTACCCCAGAATGTAATTCCCTTCATTTTGACCAGAGCTGTCATACCCGATTCTGGTTCACAAACACATTCATGTGTGTCGGCACACACACACACCTAAACAAGGCAGGAATCTATGAAATAGATGGTTCAGGAGTCAAGTGAATGTTAATGAGAACAAAACCTAGGAATGGCCCTCCTGTTTGCACTTTTCCCCTTCATTTACCCTCATACTGCTCCCTGGAAGTCTTTATCAATAGCTGACAGGTATGCAAGCACAGTGCTTAAGATGTCTTATGTGGATAAAATGTAACACAGAGTTGAGACTAGGATTCTGTTGCAGTAAATCTTAGCTGCATGCAAGGAATTTACCCCATGATCTATATACAGTTGCCTCTTAGGACAAATACCTCTGTAGGAGATGGTCATGCTCAGCAGTAAATGTGACTCAGATAAACATCACTTTAGTGCTTTGGTCTGTGTTCACTGGAAGAACTTAAGGGATAGAAAGTTCCTCCTGCCCTCTGCAGCTGTTTGCTGCATGTGAATATCATTGTTTAGAACTCACACCAACACTTAGGAAGGGTACAAATGGGATATCGAAAAGAAAAATGGCTTGTGTCTATCATTTTAATCTCTTTGCAAATTTGGTACACATTTACTGATTAATGCATTCAGACTAAAATGAACGCATAATAAACTTGCCCTCAAAAGTATATTGCAACACATAAAGCAACTTCTTTTAATCAGTGTGGTTCTCCGCTAGGTCAAATATTGTAAAGAAGTGGAAATGTCTTTTGATAGCATATACCATAGTAAATCAAAGCACAGACTCGTGAATTAAGATTAAGTGCCAGCCTTCAAATGTACTAAGAGAAGGGTTCTCCTACTACTTTCAGTATTTCCAGGTGAATCTGTTTGTAATATTCTTTGTTTGTTAAAAAGAAGAAAGCCTCTCATCACTTCGCGACCTCAGCACTAAGCTCTGAGTACAGAGAACGAATGATGGTTTGGGCTTTAATTTTGTGAACAAGACCTGAAGTTCAATCTTTGCATTCTGGTATAAAGAGTGGCATTGATATTTCACTCATCCAGGCTGTTAGAATTTGCAATTCACATCATAACTCTGTGCTTAAATTACAAAAGCTTTTCAAAACATCATGACATCTGCAGCATTTAAATTTTATTTTATTCTTTGTCCTAAAGCAAGCAGTGGTACAGTTCAAGATTAACAACTCATTGGGAGTCTTTCAGGATATCAGTTTTATAGAATGTTAAATTTAATATAGGCACATGCATTAAGAAAAGCTTATGCAAATTATTTTTACTGTTAATTTTGTCATGCTTGAAGCATAATTTATTCATCCCTTCTGTCACTGATAATTATTAGAATTATGTACCTTAGGAGGCTAATCCTTACCCAAAAAGCACACATGTAAATACTAATTTGAATTTGCAAGTTGATGTAGGGAAAGGAGACTTCAGAACTGCACAAAATCCCATGCCTTGTTTAGTAAAAAACAATTGCAACCAACCAAATTGCCGTTAGTCTGGATATAATTAAGTCCAGTCACAAATCTTTGTGTTATTAATGGATTATCCAAGAGTATATCACTAGAGTATAGCTCCACTCATAATTACTTGAATGGCTGAGGGGGGTCACTCAGGCAGTCTGACTTTCACCTGCATTTTTCTACCTTGAGCCTTTATGAGACATACTTAAGTAGTTCATTTCTTTAAGGAAATAACTTTTTAATGTCAAATATGCATTACTAGTTTTTTATTCCATGTAATCTAAGGTAACTTCCCAAAGCCAACATAATCTTTTTCTCCCAGGAAAATAATAAAAAACACTATCAGGTTTTGTTGAAACTTTCAGAAACTGAGGCTCTATTTCAGTTCATCCTGCTACAAGGTTCCCAGTAAAAAGTCTCATGTAATTGTTTCTCTTTTATCTCCCAAATTTAATATGAGTAATAAAGTTCCTCATCTATACTTGACCGTTTTCTCACAAATACAGTGATACTGAAATATTTACTAGCAGATCAGTATAACCCAGGAGCCTAATTGTATTGTTTTTTACCTTAGGGTTATTTAGGAAAGAAAACAAAATGTCTTGTCATTGAAATAGTTTTAATTTTTTTAAGCCACAATATAGTTTTTCCTATCTGTTTCAATTTTATCATACAGTTTTATAAAGTTTGGCTAGTACCACTCAAATATGACTTTATAATACCGGTGTAAGAATGTGTCAAGAACAAAGTGTTTTATAGTACATGCCACACACTGAGGAACTTGTAGCAGGATAAACAAAACTCAGAATACACAAATATGGATCTGTATTGTACATCACTGTTGTTCAGAATTCTCTCAGTCAAACCACTTTATAATTTTTTTGAGTATCAGATGCTTTAAGAGTGTTAGCTGATACTTATTTTATGTACTGTTTTGAGGCCATGTGTCATTTGAAGTAAGATTAATTGGTATCTTCTGAGAAGGGCTATTTGCCTCAGGGCCTTCTTTTTACACACACTCCTTTTATAGCACTGCTGATATTTCAGATGTTTCTTATCAACAGAACTGGCTGTCTCTAAGTAGTGTTCTGGGTCAGGAAAAGACTTTTGTGTTAGGTCAGGCCCCTTACATAAAACAGGACTCTAAAAAGAACAACAAAGAGATTGAAAAAGACATGTTTTCTTTATGTGTTAATACCTGAATTAAATGGAATCAGATTTTATATGAAAATGAGTTTTTCCATTTTACTATAAAGTTAGCATGAAAGTTTACCATTAAAAGAAAGTGTTACCTCTTCTATTACTGATTTGCTTATACATATCAGAATTGTTTTATTAAATAATTTATTTTTCTCTGTTTTGATTAGTTTCATATCAACTCTGAACACTATATTATTTGGGAGAATCCAGAACTACATATTTATTTCTGCAAAGGAAGACATTGATTTAAAAAGTCAAGATTTCTTGTACCAAGATTACCTACTTAAAGGAGTTATTGGCACAGATTTAAAGTCTCATAAAATTCTCATTTAAAAAATAGTACTGTAACAGAGAAAGTATATAAACTGTTTCTTAGCCATAATTCAATGTTAAACATTTAGTACCCTCTGAAATCCACCCCACTGAGTTACAATGATTCAGAGATTAAATTCTCAATTGTTAGAAATATAGGCATTAAGAATCTCTTAGCTACCTAATAAGGACTGAGATTCGTCAACAGTAGAAAAGTCCTGCTACGTTATGTTCTTACTCACTTTAAACTGCACAGAAGTAATGAGCGTGGGCCTTAGTGCATCTATTAATAAGATATGGAGGCAAGATTGTACAAAGGCAAAAGAGGGAAGAACCAGTTCCTCTAAGCAAGATGGGGCAGTCTACAGAGAATGTGGAAAAATTAAAATGGAACAAAGATTTGGACAGTATCACTTTGAAGCCAGGTTCTTTTCTATAGAAAATAAGATCACTGGAGCCAAAAGTGGCAAGGTGTCACCTACTAGTCAGTGTGTGGCCCTTTGCAGGAGCAAACCAAATAACCTGTCCCTTGTCTGAGGAGTAGGTTTACATCCCCAGCTCAGAGATACTGCTGCTCTGGGTGACATTTCCACTCATTGTCCCCCCCACTTAGTGGATCTGGTCATACATGTTTGCAGAGTACCCAAAGTCTCTTTACATTTGCATTAGTTATATTCAGTAGTTCTTAAACTAAGATCACTGGGTATTCATACTCTACTAGAAATTTTTGTTTGCTGTGAACTTAACATGTGCTAAATTCTTCTACTTGAAAAGCCCACTTCACATTTTGACTAATGTTAACTAAATGGTTCCTCCTATAGTTATGCACAGGGCGACCTTACAGTGTTGAGCTGTACTCTAAGGAAACAGAATTCATCAGGGATATGGGAAAATACCAATTACGTACCCGTAATTGAGGTTACATTTGAAGGAAGAGAATCTTAGAAACATTCTATAGCCAATCAGAATGCAGCATGGATAAAGTAAGACACAGAAGGGCAGAGAAAGACATCCAGAAAGGAAGCTTTAGAGGAGATGAAGGACAAAGCACCAATGCAGAATGACTCAAAGGCTAACCTTCCAACAAATAAGTGCAGTACTAAGGTAAGCTGCTTCTCCAGAAGGGGATTTGAGGAGCTTCCTACTGCACGTTATTAAGTATTGCATGCCTCTCAACTCTCTACAGTACTTTCCTGAAGGGCACTACACTGGGTAATGGTTTGATTTTCTTATGCTCCCTATCATCTATGTAAGTAGCTGCTATTGAATCAGAGTGGTCTTTGCTCTGTTTTTCTGTAAGGTTGCAGTGATGGTGCTGCAGCCCTTCCTAAGAAGTTAGTTGCTGAATAACAGTACACATATGTCTAGGGTGGCCAACACTGTTGGAAAATTCCTGTGAAAATTCTTTTATTTCATTTTATTAATGCTGTCCTTGTGGTATAACAGATTTAGTTGCCCTTCTTAACAGCAAACTTGTAAGAACCCAAAATGAAAATATTTGAGACTCATTCTGAATTCAGATCTTAACATTTCTAAATTATCTTCCCAAATGTTACCATTGAGGCCAACATGCAAGTGTTCTGCAGAGTAGTAAAGTTTTAAATGATAATAATGACCCCAGTAGCAGAATTTTGTTCTCCCTCAGTTTTATTCTTTCATGTCAGGTGCACAGAACACTGGGAGGTGCTAATTTTTCTGGTATTTGTTTTCTTTACTTCTAGTTAGTATTTCCTTTCCTCATCAGTTTCCTAATCTTTTGCTCTGAATAAATAAAAAAGCCATTATCAGCAGCTTGTATCGAATAACCTCATAAATAGCCTCAACTAAAGTTTCTTCTCCTCAGGTGCTCAGGGGCCCCCTGCCTTACAGGGACCTCTCAGGCATCTACTCACCAAGGCTGCTTGTGCACTCAGTATGTGACTGCCTTCACGTTTCACGCAGCTGAACATACAAAGATCTTGTTGTGGCCTTGCTGCAGAGATAGGATGAGTAGGTGCCAGATTTGTTATATGAATGGCACTATTAGTAGAGGCTTTGGGACATGCAAGACTACTGTGGAGATGTGTCCAGGGAAAGCAGCCTGATGTCTTGGCCAATTAAACCAAGTGACTTTCTACCCACCCCAGAGCAGTGCTAAAACTCTAATTACCTTAACCCCCTGAGCATACTCAATTTTTCCACTTCATTATTTTATGCCAACATCTTTTTATTATTTCCTTCACACTTTCCTTATAACCAAATGTTTGAAAGTATTTCATTTATGCAGTGTTAAATGATTTTTCATAGCATCAATAAAGAGAGGAGCAAATCTTAAGTCCAAAACAAGCCAATCTACCTTATTCAACAGACCCCAAAGCACCATTGTATTACATCAGCAGCTCTGCTCTACAGTTCCCCCCCAAAACAGTGCCTTCCTGAAAAGCCAGACATCACACCTTTTACCTATCTGTTGGGAATGTCTTTAGTACCAGAGTAAGGACGTTCTAAATGCCACCCATAGTAGACTATGAAATAATAGTAAGAAGCCAGATTTCAAACTATAAGCATCAAAGCAGACAACAGAAACACCGCTTTTCCCTTTATGTCAGTTAAAATGCCCCTGCAGAAACTATAACCACTTAAGCAATTCACCCAGGCATGGGACATCAGACTTTATTTTGAAAGCACAGGTCAGATACCAATGGGCTGCAACAGATGAGATAGATATAAGATGGCTATAAGAAAGAAATCCCCACCCCACATTGGAGCAACAAAAATCTGAGTACAAAAAAAAATTGTGTGACTCCAGACTCACTAATATTTTTGTGTACCTCTTGTCAAATAACATGACCCTGAGGTCTTGTTTGAAATGCCTGAACAGTCTTCATGGGGCAAAAAACTACATTCCCCCCAGTTGAGGTACAGATATCTAAGTGCCCTGGATTCAAAATCTTGGCTCTGAGAAGGAATTTGGAATCTATATTCCATGTGAAAAGATCAATCTGGCAGTGTGTGCCAGCTCACCAATCCATGCCTTCCCCCCCCCCATTAAGTTTATTGGTACATTTATGGTATACAATACAGTTATATTCATCATTGGGATCTTGTACCATTACATGAGTATCTTGGTTCTTCTTTTTTTTCCCCTTCCCTTGCCCTCCCTT